AAGGAATTAAAAACAGTAATTGAAATGATTAAGAGGGTAGAGCTGCTGCTTTAGGAAGGGAGACCAAAAGGCTAGGACTCTTCAGTTTATAGGGGAGAGGCTATGGGGAGGTGCGAGCAATGCTTCTAAAACCATGAGGGCCGTGGATAAGGTAAATGCAGAACTGTTTGTTATTCACCAAACGCCAGAATATTAGAACTAAGAGACTCTTGCTGATACTAGCAGAAGATCAAAACAGATGAGTATTTTTTTCAATGCAGAGGATACTAAACATACTGCCACAAGAAACAGGTATCCTGTTTTGAATTTGATGGTATTTGAACGTGTGCCTTCATCAACAGTAGATCCATAAGATCCTAGAAGGAAAAGAAGGGGTGTGTGCACCTAGTAGAACAGTTGCAGATGCTGGGGGAACAGACAGAAGAGCCCAGACTTGTTCTAACCCTCAGCAACATCTTCTCTTGCCACTGTCAGAGCATATTGGGCCTTTTGTCTGACCAGATTGCAGATTTATTGCACACTTAGGTCACCTCATACAAGCATTGGGGCTTAGAGGCTTGTCTTGCCCAGAGCTTTTTGGAAAGATTGACATCTTACTTGCTGCTGATTCAGTCTTAGGCAGAAGATTGTATGTTACTGTTACAGAACTTCTGTAAAGTTACTTCAGTTTTAGGTTTACTGAAAACCTAAATTGCCCCAGCACGGGAATCTCCCAGTTTCTTCTGCAGATAAATAATATGTTCATATTGCTGTTCTCCAAGCTCCTACCTTATTCTGCTGCCACTTGTTTAATATCTTCACGCTGTTTAGCCCACCAGAGAGTCTATAAGACTTTTTGCTTCTGCTTTGTTGAAAGAATAATTTAACATCCGTTTTGATGCTTTCAAATAGCTGTCCATAAACCTTCTTTCAGCCTGCTCAATTGTATTTTTCACATTTTAGTCTGTCAGTTTGAACCTTTTTATTTTACTCTGGATACAACTTCATGTTTCTATAGGATGCCTTTTTTTTGTTTGTGGATTTCTAGTATTTCTAGTCTGCATGCTTCTTATAAGGATTTCACTTTCTTAATTGCTCCTTTTAGCTGCTTTTGAACAAGCTCCCTCATTTTTCTCTCTTTGAAATTTAGCACAGCTGTGTTGGATTTGCTTCTGTTGTTCACGTGGGAGCGTTGACTCTGAGTATATTATAGACACTGTTACGTAGTGTTTCCATTATGAAATTTTGAATCTGAACCTGCTCATCACTCAAGGGTTGCGTTTCTTCCTACTGAGCAATTGGTTAGCAAGCTCGTGAAATGGTCAGTGATAGCATCTAAAAATATCGACCCTGCTTCATGTCCTGACATGACACTTGCCAGATCTGAGCGAGTAATTGAAGGCACCACTAAAATTGTATTTCCTGTTCTTGTAGCCTGTTAGATCTCTCTTAGCATGTTGTAGTCAGGATTTCTTCTAGTAATATTGTTCCAGCACTGTATTTTTTTTCTCCTTTTTAAGTATGGAATTTCAGTCAATTTGAGTTCTCTTTCTTGTTGAGATTAGTTTTTATTTGATTCTAAACTTTCTAACAAGATATTAGCATTCCATGACTGGCACAGTTTTACTCTGTACTGTGTATTTCATAACCTGGTGTTATCACATCACATTGGTTTATTAAGTGTGGGGGAAATTTTGTGAAAGAAAGAATCTGCGACTTCATTTGGGGAGAGAAATTCCATTGTCCCTGTCTTATTTTATAGACTTCTAGCATGTGCTGGAACTGTTCCGGTTCATTTCTGGGCATCCTGTTTAAATGACGGTTTATTTGTCTTCTGTTTTGTATTATTTGATTATTTTGACCATGCTGTACTTAAAGATAGGAATTTTGTGTCCGTTTCTTAAGATAAAAATGTTGTGCCTTTCCTCTTATGATATTCCAACAGAATGTATCTGGAATGAGGTTTTGAAGGAATTTTTTGGCTTTTCCACATTCCTCAGTTTAAAAGCTCACTTGAAAATTCCTTGATTTGAAGTGCCATCAGTTCAGTTTTCTCAAACTATACATCAATGTAAATGAGTAGCATAGCACACTAGATTAGATCTTTAGAACAAAAGAGTTGGTGCTGAGGATTTAGCAGCTATACTGTACATATTTGAGGATCTTTACTTTTTATTAACTCTTGTTTGATCCTCTTAGCTAAATTCCTGCTAGCAGATGAGAGCATTTGGTGTGCTCCCTCAGCATTTATTTAGTTCTTGCAGGGCAAACTAAAGCATATTAATAGGAATGATCACTTGAAAAACATACTCCTGATCCAAACCCAAAGGCTAATGTAGCTTTATGGTTCAGATGAAGGCCATCCATCTGATGCAGGTTCTCTTTATTCTATAAGCATCTCTGATTCCTGATGTATCTGAAACTTTCTTGTCACAATCTTTTTCAGATAGGTATTTAAGTCCTGTGTCTCTACCTTTCTTTTTGGAATTACACCAGTACTAGCAGAGCTTCAGAGAGCTAAACATCTAATACTTGTCTTAAAATTGCAGTAATGTTTCTTGCCCATAAAGGATGTATTTGCAATGGGCTTAGGACTTCAGCATTGTTAATATTTCTATTTCTGTTCAATTTCTATTTATTGTGGCTGGGGAAAAAATGAGAGCACGTTTTGCCTAGAATAGGGCTTTGTCTCATTTGTGCAATATTAAAAATTGTATGGTAATTTAATATTAATAAAATTGGTAAGATTTTGGTTAGTGCAGTAATCACGAGAAGTGTTCATGTTACTTTTAAGCTCTGATATCCAACTTCTGCAGGAGTTTTTCAGTAGCATGGATCAGGATTGCAATCCAAACTGAGAAGTGAGGTGCCTGCTATTACTACATCTTAGCTAGTGATCCCTATTTGCCACTAAAATTGATGGCAAAAGAAATAATATGTAGTTTGAGTGTAATTTTTATCCTGAATCTAGAATAAAAATAAATTGTATAAAACATAGCAGTACAAGTTCTTGTTTTCTTTTAAGTATATATCATTGACTGCTTACATTATCTGCAGAAGCTTGTTTTCCAAACAAGCCACAGCCAGGAAGTGTGCTTCCCTCACGTGGGCTGTGTAGGTGTGCAAAGATCAGCAAATCTAAGTACAGGATTCTATGTAGTATATGAAGGTCAGAAGCTGAAGGTCAAAGAGCTTCCTTATCTCCCAAGCGAAGACTATAACCTGGTTGGAGCAGTATTGAATCTTGCCCACAGATTGCAGGCAGCCTGTGTAAAACTCACAAGCCATCGTTCGTCACGCTGCTGGGTCAGCCCTCATGGTATTGGGAAACTACACCTACTTTCCAGTTCTGAGATCTCACTGTCCTTGCAATTAAAATGGGTGGAGTAGGAAAGTGTTTGCTTGTCATCTTCTAATACGCATACAGTAAGAATCTTTCTCAAGCTTGTCAACCTAAAAATACTATTTTTGTTTTTGTCCAGATAATTGATTATGAGAAGAATCAAACGCTAGGACAAAACGATACTGGATTTAGTTGTGATGGAACAGCTAGTACATTCAGAGTTATGTTCAAAGAACCTATAGAGATTTTGCCAACGGTCTGCTACACAGCTTGTGCAACACTGAAAGTAAGAATGCCTAACAGTGCAGAAGAAAATGTTATTTTGATGCAAGAGTTGTTTTTTGTCTGTCTTCTAATGGGAAAGTGTCTTCTAGATCCTGAATTTATTTTAAGTTTAGTGCTCAAGAAGGGTGTAGTTAAACTCCATAGTAACTTGTAAGACTGCTACCTCTCTTCTGTACCACAGCACAGAGTCCATAACTGGACCCTTTGTGCCTTCCCACTTTCTGGCTTGATGCAGGAGTTAGAATGAGTCCTAATGGAAGTCACTGGGTCTGTGTGGGCAAAAGCACTATCTAGAATATTTAATATGTCAGCTCTCTATCAAAATTTAATTTGATTTTGTTATCAAGGATACTCTAACCACTAGCCAGAGTTAAGAAGAAGGAAAGCATTTTTTTAACACTTGTATATACTAGTGCTGAAATACAGGACTATTTTTTTCTAGGAAAGTCTTCTCTTAATGTTATGGACAAATTTACTAATTTATTCAATGTTTTCTCAAAAATCTCTTAATATTCTTTTAAATATAATTTCCTATACAGCAATCAAAGTTGCTTGGGTTGAAAGAAAATGTTGCACACTAAAAGAAGCTGAGGCAAGGAACTAAGTGAGAATCTAAGACAACCTCTTTGACAGCGAGAAATACTAGAAAATATTTATTCATTACTAGTAGGATAAAATCAAGTAGTTTAAGTCTGCTGTCAGAGGAACTTTTTTTGTTGTTGTTGTTATTTAGACATAGGGCGCTTGCTTCTATTGTCTGTGGTTTTGTGTATAACTTCCATGATGTGGGTACAGAAATTTTATAATATTAAAATAACCTAAGTCAGTAGTGTTTGAACTTCAACATTTCATGGGGCTTGCTGCCTGCTTACAGTCAATTGCTGGTCTCTTCCGATGTTTTTCAGGGTCCTGATTCCCACTATGGAACAAAAGGTTTGAAGAAAGTGATCCATGAATCTCCTACTGCTAGCAAAACATGCTTTGTTTTTTATAGCTCACCAGGTAACAACAACGGTACATCAATAGAAGATGGACAGATACCAGAAATAATATTTTATACATAATTTCACATGATCATCTCGAATGTGCCAGTGTATCAATGGACTTCAGCTCACTATTGGCAGCAGTTAAAAAATTCTGTGAAGTTACATGAATGTGTGAAAACAAAACTAACTTGTTTGAGAGGTACCAGAAAAGCTAATTTCTCTGCATTGTTATTGGCAGAATGTAATTTAGCTTTTCCGCTTAATAAAATGTCAAGTGGAATAAGTACTCTGTATATTGAAAAGATTGTTTTAAATAGTAACTTGTGATTAATTGCTTTGTATTTTCACCCCTTCATTTCTCATGTATTAAAATTCATTTTTTTTGAACTGGAAAATCTTTACTCATTATGAACTTCTTGCGTACGTTTTCCCCAACCTGTCCTAAAAAGACAGTAAAGCTGCTGCTGTAGTCCCAGCTTACACATCTTTCCAACGTGACCTCTCAATGACCCCGTGGACATAAATTGCTACTATATTTTTTTTGGAGTACATCGGCAAAGCTGGATTCATACTGCTACTGTCTTGTCTTTTTGGATGAGCTATGGAGAATTAATGGACTTAGTACTGCAGATGGCATCTGCAGCTGCACTGAAGAGATACTAAGTTAAAATCAGCAATAAATGGATCTTTCCAGAATCTCTCTTAATTCAGAAGGGCTGTTTTGGAACATAGAGCTGGTTATGGAAATAGCCACTGTATATACGTATGTGCCTATAAGAAAATGTATAATGAGAATACAAGACTTGTAATCATGTTATTTTGTCATTGGACGTTCTAATACTAAAAAATTAGTATCAACTAAGGCTTATTTTGTGCAACTAATTTTCCAGCTTGCATACAACCACGTGATGCAATGATGTATGTATATAGCATTCGGTGTCTTGTGATGTGTAGTAGTAGAATGTCTTCATGTACAAACCCCTGTATGCTGAAATAATAATTGGAAAACGCAGGAGGAAAAAAAAAAAAACCAAATCCCAACAACTCCCTTTTCCTTTCTCTTTCCTCATTTCTCTTTAAACGCCTGCTCCGGCTCTCGAAGGCCGGTGTTTGGGACCTCCTCCCGCCTCCCTCCCGCCGCGGGCAGCGCCGCTCTCACGGGGAGGAGCCCCCGCAGCCCCGGGGCTGCCGGCGCCCCCAGGCGGAGCTACCGGGCCCGCAGGGAGCCCCGGGAAGCGGCGGACCGCGCAGGAGCGGGGCGGAACGAGAAGAGCCGGCGTTGCCGGAAGCGCGCACAGAGCCATGCTGGCCCTCGCCGGCTTCCGTCGGCCGCTGGCGGCGCCGGTGCGAGGCGGCGGCGGGGCTATGCCCCGAAAGGTGCGGGCAGGGAGGCCGCGGGGTGGGGTGGTGGAGGGCCGGGGCCGCCCGGTGCCCGCCCTGACCGCGCCCGTTCCTCTGTTTCAGGGAAAAGGAGCCGGGAAGGACCCCCCGGGAGCGGCCGCCGCGGCGGGACCGGTGGCGGCGGGCGAGGGATGCGTGAGGGTGGCGGTTCGCGCCAAGCCCGGCGCCCGCCTCAGCGCCGTCACAGGTGGGTCTGTCAGCACGGCCCGTCGGCGGGAGCTCCGGGAGCCGGTCTGTCTGACCCGTGCGAGAGCTCATCCCTCCCCCCTCAGCTGTAGGAAAGGAAATGGTCAGAAAACTAAAGAAAGATGTAATTTCACATTTTAATGAAAAGAAGGCGGGTCGCCTCCCGCGGGCGGCGGCAGGGGGTGCAGCGAGCACGGCTGTGTCCCGCCGGACCGGCCGCCTGGACAGAGTGACAGCCAACACGCTCCACCAGCAGGAGTTTGTCCCAGGAGGGTCTGCCGTCTGGTTTGGACTGTAAAAGTGTGATCTAATAAAACGTGTTCTCCCTCCCCAAATCCGGACTTGCTTGTGTACAAATCGGAAATTGGCTTTTTTATGCCCGTAGGTGTGTGTGAGGTGAGGGTGGGCTGCAGGAGGAAATCGTTGGTGACGGCACAGCTCGCTGGGCAGGTGTATTCATCATGGGTTTTGGTGGGGTAACCGGGTTTGTGTTAAACGTGGTGCCAAGGAACAGAACGGGCAGTGCGGAGGGGGGCTGAGAGCAGGGTCCCCATGGTGTGAGCAGTGGTGACTCGGGGCCACACAGGTCTGAAGGCTTCACTGTTCTTCATACCAGGAGATTATCCTTGTTTGTGCTGGCTAACAGCTTTAACTTGAGGGAATTTGTGAAGTGTGAAAATGTCATTACCTGCTAATCTATAAACTTACCCGGTTCGAAATTAAAATGCTCTTGAAAGCATAAACATTCCTTTTCAGAAGACAGTAGCTAGATGTTTTGAATATTTTCAGCATAAAATCCTCAAATTGTTTGTTATAGATGTGACAGCCGAGGCGGTGGGTGTAGCTATTGCTGCACCTCCCACAGAAGGGGAGGCAAATGCTGAGCTGTGTCGCTACCTCTCTAAGGTGCTAGAAGTGAAGAAGAGTGAAGTTATTTTAGAGAAGGTATTTCCTTTTTTTTGTGTTTTTCTTCCAATCTTGCCCTACTGCAATTTAAATTCAAGATTTTTAAACTTCCTCGTTGAGTAAAGGGAACTACTCTCCAAGTTCAGCCCAAAATAAACTTTAAAGGTGTTTAGTTGAGTTAATGGAATGATTCATTGAGAACAAACTGTAGGAGGAATCACAGCTGAGCTTGAGATCTTTAATCAGAATGGTTCTCATCATAATGTATTTTCCAATTTTGTGTGGTTCACGTTTTCTGGTTCTTAAAAAATTCTCATTTTCATGCCAAATACAGTTCACAAAATTTGTGCTTTGCAAAGAATGCGCATTTTATTAATAACTTTTTGTTCCTTTTTTTTTTCCTTTTAAGTAACTTCTGTATTTGAGGTAAAATTTTCTGACCGTTAGCTGTCACACGTGAGCAAGAGCATCTATAAGCACTTGAATTATAGCTGGCCCTTGAGTTTCTTTGTATTAGAATTTACATGTCATGTCTTTGGCGAGTGGAAACTCCCTGTTTTATTCATTGCACTGAATAAATAATTTGTTTTATTAATTCATTGTACTTAAAGTCAGTCTTTCCAGCCATGTTCATTTATAGTTTATGAACATAAGAGCACAATGAAGTTGTAGTAGCAGAAGTCTGTTAAAGGATAGCGGTGAATGGCAACATGCTCAATGAATTAAGCACTGTGTTGCTGAAAGGTAGAGATGCGAAGATTTGAGTCTTGTTTTTTCCTGAATGATGGGGAAACTGCTTCATTTATTTATCAACATTTTACAGATAATACTATTTTCCTACCTTAAAGGGATGTTCAGATTTAACTATGTTATTCTCATAAGAGCTAAACAGAGTTGAAGATAAAAGGGGCCGGTGTTGTCTGACGCTGTTGTTCTGGCCTACAGTGTCCAAGTAATTACATGCTCGTGTTTGTTTTTCACAAGCCACTGTTTGTTCTCACTTGTTTGTTTGTAATGTTAACAAAAACAATCAAAATCAAGAGATTAGTGGGAAATGATCCAGTATAAAACTGAGGCTACCAGATTTCTATGATGGGCTTGTGATTTTTCATCATTAGCTGGCTAGACTGCTTCAAAAAATCTATTTTTAATTTTAAATGTCATGCTTTATTTCTGCATAGTAGAGTTAAGGACTTTTTCCTCCCTTAGGATGTCCCTTATGGGCTTTTCAAACTTTTTGCCAGGCTACAGATTAACAAACAACTTGTTTCTCGTAGTTTAGTGAATACTAGCAAAGTTGTGTCTTCAGGCAATATCTGAGGTTGCAGATTTGCCAGGTCGTATGTAAAATAGCCTTTTTTTCAGTAATACAAAACCAGGTCAGTGATACTTCAAGTAACTGCTGTATGAATATGTCTTATAGGTTTATATACAATGTGATTTCTGTTCATTTAGTTGATTTTATCAATCTGAGAACTCAGCTTAAGAGTAACTAATATTCTCTGAGGAAAATCTGAAAGTACACAGTTACCAAATATATACCCATACATATGTACACACCCACTTTTAAAAAACAAGCTTCTTGCTCCTAGGTGATACAAGTGAATTATGAAAACTTATCATTTCTTGCTTTTCGTTCTAGCCTATAAAAAGAGCATCAATTCAGGGCACGCTCTGGGAGCTGTTTCCAATTTTAAAAGGAGAGTACATAAGATGTTGTTTTCCCCCATTCAAATAGCTAGAAAGGACATTGATGAACTGTCTCTTACTGCTGTTAATTCTGCATACCCACACTTTAAGAGCTATTTTTAAAGTACCTGATATGTTGGCATTACAGTGAGGTTTTTTTTGGAATGTGTATTTGGCGGTGATTCTCTGAAAGGTGTTTAATTTTGTGTATGTGTCTAAACCAGGGTGGTAAATCGCGTGAAAAAGTGGTGAAGATTTTGGTATCGATGACTCCAGATGAGATTTTAGAAAAACTGAAAAACCTCCTTGTTAATATAGCTGCTTTATAGTTTAAGTTTTTGTCTGGGTTTGGTAAGAAAAACATGTCTTTACTGAGGCTCTGTATCTGCTTCTGTCACTAAAGACTTTTTTCCCTTCTGGAGAGTTCCCTGTTGGTAAGATTTGGCCTCTTTCCTGGCCCCTAAACAAGTGTTTAAAAGAGCTTGTTTCTTAGTGAAACAAACTTTGGTTAAGAAAGTGAAAGGCTTGGAGTGACTGGCTTGGACGTGAAAGGTGGTGCAGAAGGATGAGTCTGTTCAGAGGGTGAAGACCTTAGAAGAATGTTCTCTTCAATATCTAGCAGCAGGTACTGGGTGCAGTATTGCGCTGTGTGCACATATATACATCTGAAATAAACATATTTGAAGGCAGTACACAGTTGTCGATCATACAGGCAAGCTAAAAACAGAATCACCTGAACAACTGAAACAATACCAGAAGTTCGCAGTATGAAAAAATTGACCCAGAACCTTGTAATTGTATATACAGTGTCACCTTGTCTGTCATTAGTTTCCTGAAAAATAGAGATGCAGTCATATATCTTTGCCAAATGTATGTCACATGTAATGACTGTTTTTAATAAAAGGAGCAAAAAATATTATCAAGCTTTGTTTTGCATTTATATTTTTAACCAAAAAAAAAAAAATCCCCCATTCAAATAGCTAGAAAGGACATTGATGAACTGTCTCTTACTGCTGTTAATTCTGCATACCCACACTTTAAGAGCTATTTTTAAAGTACCTGATATGTTGGCATTACAGTGAGGTTTTTTTTGGAATGTGTATTTGGCGGTGATTCTCTGAAAGGTGTTTAATTTTGTGTATGTGTCTAAACCAGGGTGGTAAATCGCGCGAAAAAGTGGTGAAGATTTTGGTATCGATGACTCCAGATGAGATTTTAGAAAAACTGAAAAAAGAAGCTTCCAGTTGACCTAAAACAAGAGCAGGAAATGGGACAATGCATCTTGGTAAATGTACTGATACTCTTTCTCATGTAAATGTGGTCCTGTTCAGCACCTGGATAATGACTAGGGAAAGAAACAACTTCTTCCC